AAGGGGGTTTTAAGCAGAATAAATGATTGGAGAAATCCAGCTCATGTCACCAGAGAAAAATCTGCTGGAAGATCGAGTTATGACATTTTGATTACGAATTACAAAAATTACTAAAAAAAATAAATGAAAGGTCACATTAGCTAGATCTCAGTGAAATTCTGTTGGCAAAAAAGTCCAATAGCATAGCAATGTATGAAGCACAGCTCAGACATAAGTCACTTTCAAACCAATCAGATTTCTGTTGGCCTGTGTGGCGAATTTGCATGACCAATAAACATGAGCGAAATCTGCGTCGGTAACTTTTACGCCCGTAAGCGAAACTTCAAAATGTGAGGATTCCTACTGAAATGACTGGATTTTGTCTGCGAAATTTAAGAAATTTAACTTTAAAAATGTCCAAAATAAAAGGCTCATTTGAAAAACATAAAATTGGTGCAATAACAATACTGTGCAATAGTCACACAAGGGATCAGACAACCTAACTCATAAAGACTACCTAACCATTCCTTGACTTGCGGTGGTATTGTTAGGGTTCGGGATGGTGGAGTCAGGGTGTGACGTGTGGGTGGAGAGAAGCAGATTTTATTGGGTGGAGTGAAAAGCCCAGCATGCGTGGAAAGACTAGGCAGGAGACAGGCTTAGTCTATCAAACAAGAGAGAGGGAGAGTAGACACAGATGGTCCCATCAATAACCCCCACTCTTTCCTCCACCACCAAGGGTGTTCACATCCACTATTTGGTCACTAGAATCAAGCACAAAGACTGATGGTCTGGCCGGAGCAGATGGCAGGTATTTGTGGACCTGTGGGGAACGGTGGTACAGGATGCCTCAAGCAGGAAGTGTGAGAATTCTACAGCAAAAGAGACTTCATTAACAATAATGGGCGGTAAATTGTAATGACATAGCTGTCAGGCAGAGGCATTGTTCTAATTACTGATAATAAACTGGTTTAAGTTTATTTTGATCTTGTTTGTAATATAGTTTAGAGTCAGTAAGAAGTCTTTCCTGCATTGCCATTTAGTGCCACTACTGCACTTGCACCATCAAAAATAAAATAAAAAGGGCTTTCCAATTTCCAAATCAATTGTCTAGGGCTTTTTATGTAATAAGCAAAACCTGGAAATAAAATAAAAAATATATATATATTTGTGATTATAGTCTGACCTTTTATGAAATAACTGGACATCCAGGGTAAGGCTAAACTAGACAGAATAAGGTTTGAACTATGAATAATAAATATGAATAATCTTAGTCAGTAGCACTATAAATTACACAAGCCCCAAGACTTTGGTAACACTGAACAAACCGTAGGACAAGTTTAGACAATAACTCATAGTTCATTCATAATTTAGCAAAGCTGGTGTCAGTATAAAAAAGTAAAAGTGACATAACTTAAATCTGATGAGCAACTGATGATGAATAAATTAATGAATCAATCAATCAATGAACTAATGAATCAATCGATCAAATCAATCAATCATTCAACAAGGTAAAGTGTATATCTTAGATTATGTAACTGATTACCATCTCTTTTAATTTCTTTCAATTCTTTCACTAGTTCATATTAAATAGTTGGTGTTGCCATTAATTTTTAAAAGTACAAAAATATTCCAAATATAGTTTGTCAATGCAAATCACAAAATAATGAGCAAGTTCTGTTTTGAATATAGATTTAGATATAAACTACCCAAATATGTAAAATCTCTGTAGCCATTACTAAATCAAACCAAAGTTTTACATAAAAAAATATATATATAGACCCTCATTCAGAAGTGCATGGCAGGGCATTTGTGTATCATTTAAGAGCTTCATTAGAGGTTATAACATTTATGTGGGGAAATATTCACCCATGGCAGGTTGAGGACAGCGTCCATGTCAGGAGCCAGCAGGGGCAGGCCAGTGAGTCGTGACCCGGTGCCATGAAAGGAACGCCAACTGTGCGACATCAAACAGACAATCTTGCCAAAGAAAACAACACTATTGTGCTTTGCCAGCAGGCCAAGAGACCAAATTATGAGTTTACACGTCTCTGCACTTGCTATGAAGTAATGCACCCATGCGTCACAAAGTACAAATAAAAAGCTATACTTTTTAAAGCAGAATTCATACATTTTCAATAGGGATGGACTGAAAAGTCACAAAATGTGTCTGAAATATAAACTTAACAGATGCATTAATGCACATTAAGAGTAACATGATCATTCTAGACTGATTTAACTAGACTTGATTCAGCTTTCACATCAATACTGCATCTTTGTGCCTTTCCATATTTTATGTTCATCTTACATCATTCTCTCTATGCAGTCAGTGCCGCATGGAGCGCACGGTGATGGATATTAATACTGCATCTTTGTGCCTTTCCATATTTTGTTATGTTCATCTTACATCATTCTCTCTATGCAGTCAGTGCCGCATGGAGCGCACGGTGATGGATATGGCAGGTTTGTGTGTTGATAAGACTGACTGTCAGGTTCTCCTGCGGCTTTCTGTGCAACAACCACTGGGATTCTCACACCTTTCAGTCCTAGCTGCATGGCTGACCTAACCTGATAACTCTAAAATAAGCTTCATATGACTCATGATGGTGCTAAAGCAAACTATATGAGTCACAGTTATGACTGATTAAACATTGCCAAGTTTATAGATCAGAAGAACAGAAACAACACGTGGGAACTATGAGCAAAAACAGTTAGTCATGATGACAGACTTACTATGTGAAGTGTAACCTTAACAAACTTGATTACTAATAGGAAGTACTCTTGAATTAAAGTCAACATAAAATCTCTGATGTACTACTGATCTTACTACATGTGATTCACTGCTATTCCACAGAACACCGAGGTTTGTGTTCGTTATCTTCATCAAAATAGAAATGTCCTTTTTAGCTAACATTCCAAATTAATTACACTCTTAAAACATAAAGGTTCCAAAAGAGGTTTGCCATAGAAAAAACATTTTTGGTTCCCCAATGAACCTTTCAGAGAACAGTTCTTAAAAGAACCATGTTTTTCTTAGTGTGAAGAGCAATTACATTAATAAAAATTTAAAGAACGTTTTTCCAATAAAAACACTTTTTTTGGAATGTAAAGTTTCCATGCTAGATTTCAATAAAGAACCTTTAATTTTCAGGAGTTTCACTCCATTCTGTTAAGTAACGCACTTTTCATAATCCAATCAACTGACAATGTATAAAATATCCTTAATAAGTCTTGCTATATATTTAATTTCACTTCAAATAAATTAGATTACACATATAAAATGGTTGTTTGTTTACTTTTTACTGCTTCCCAGCCTTATTGAATCATAAAAACACAATCTAAGTACAAAATAAGTGATGGTCAGGATCAGGATAAGAAGAGAATGTGCAAACACCAAGAGCCTGGAATACAAATGACACCCCACTTAGGACACAAGTCCTCGGGATAAGCCGATAAAACGGGATTCCAAGGACAATTCCGGCCTTTCTTCTCTCTCGCAGTATCACTTTCACGACAACCACAGTGTTGCAGAGGAAGTCAATCCCAAACCATTCCAAATCAGGTTGAGGGAAACTACAGTTTACACAGACAATATGTTACATTCACCTTTACCTAACATGGATGCCAATTTTTAGAAGACCATTAAAAAAAGCACAAAAACATAACTGTCAACACTGCACCAGCATAAAGTTTGTGCTAAAACAAGTCTAAGAAAAAAGTCATGGCTGTTAATCTAAGGGGTGTTTTCATGTTACTACAACTCCATTTGGCTGCAGCGTGAAGCTAATGAGATGCTCGGCACGGGCGGATTCTGTGCATCACGCTGCTATTAACAGCCTTAGTCATCATCAGAGCGAGGGGCTGAACATTCCTGCCAAATGAGCACTGCTGCTCTGACAAACGCCATGTCATGATAGCGACGTACCTCTCTCTCTCTCTCTCTCTCTCTCCCTCTACATAAATAATAGGCATTTCTGTCTGCAAACAGCCCTGGAGGACTCGGGCCTTGGGGTGATGCCAAATCCCCATGGTTACTACAATGCAGCAACTGCCTCTTTCCTGTGATGATGATGCTCATGAGACGAAAAGGAAACAGACCATCCGGCTTAGTTTGTTGGAAAGTAAGAGGGAAGTTTTTAAGAAGTTCTGCTCAACAGTGACCATAACACAAGGTGCAAATTTGACCGATGAGTTTCAATTACATTCGCAATCACTAGATAAATTGTAAAACAAAAACAAATTTTCAAAAAATGTAAAATGACTAGAAACATTTATGTTTACTTTAGAAGTATCTGTATAATGAGCAAGAGACATTTGAGTGGCCAGGAGAAAGGGACAGTGACTAAGTGTGTCTAACAATATGGAATATTTTCAGTATTGTTAAACATGTTCCTGCAGCTACTTGGTATAAAAACTCATGCATCATCATCTTCATCTAAATATAACATGGCTGCAAGAGAAAGGCATTGACCTGGTATAAAATACTCAAAACAGAATGAAAAACGAATCAACTCAAAACAGAGAAAAACTGGGTTGTTGAGCACAATACGTGCATTAATGACTATTCATTTCAAAACTGAATACACACAAAACATGTTTTCAGTTTCTGAATTAAAGTCATATTTTCATTTTTGTGGGACAAGGTGGTGGTATCATTAAAGGCTGAAAATCTTGGAAAAATAAGAAATGCTGGCATAATTTTCATTATTTTCCCCCCAAAAAAGTAGCATTTATACAGTATATAACTAGATACTGACAAGATTTTTAAAACATTTCTCCTATTTTTTATTTCAACCTCATTTGTCACTGACCCAACATGTGACAACAAGCTTCTCCCAAACCTGTAGTTTACAAAAACAAGATCATCTGATTTATATTTTGTGAGTCTTTACACAAAATGCTCAATCTGTGAATCAAACATTCAGCATGATGCACAAGTGATCTGTTCAATGATTAAATGCTCTCACTGCACCACTGCCTTCAGCAGCCATTCAACTACTACTGCACTTTATGATTCTTACCTTTGACTTGAGTCTCGTACTCTGTAATGATCTCTTTATCCTTTTTGAACTTCACAGGAGGATTCGACATTTTCAATAGCGATTCGAAATATTTCAGTTCAGTTCCGAGAATGTTTGTAAACTGGTTTGTTTGGGGGCTTTTCCAATTTCCAGGTCACCCTACAGCGGCCAGTGCATCCCAGAGATTTTTCAAGCTGTTCAGGCTAAAACAAATCCCAAAAGCCAAACGCCGCAAATGTTCATCTTCCGAGTTCCCAACGATTCCGAATGTAATTCCGCCGTCAATGCGATCAAAACACAGCGCGCACGGGAAGAGTTTCCTCCCAAACAAGTAACCCTTTCCTTGGGCAAATGTCCACGGCTTGTTGTTCCAGCAAGAGGCAATCCGGTCCTTCAAACTGTCTTTTAGTCACCCGCCGACGGATCTGGACAGACTGAGCAGCATAATGACTGGCGTGATTTTCTGCACCCTTTCCTCGCGTCCGTGGGTCTGATCGCCGGACAGTTTCACGGATTCTGACTGACCTCAAAGCAGCTGCAAAAGCAAGTGGTTGGAAATGGGAGGGATTGGAGGCGGAGGGGGTGCACGTAGCGGAAATGTGGACGGGATTGACAACTTTTCTAACCAGTTGTCCCCGAAAGTAATTTTGTTCTGTAGTAGTTATAGAGTAGACAATTAAAAACATAGCATTTCGATGCTTACAAACAAATCAAAACAGTTTGAAAAACTTATTGTGAAATGTGCTGTGTTTTTAAGATTTGTTTATACAAATCGTTTCATTACGAGTCCTTTAAAAGTGTATATGATTTCTAATTATTACGTTTTAAAGTAAGCCTTTTGAATATTTTTAACAGTTTTTAACAACTCGTTTTTAGGACCGCTGAGGAACGCGTCGTGTAGGGCGCCTAGTGGCCAGTATTTGAAATTGCATGTAATTAAATCACTTTGTCTCTGTGACATCTAGGAGAAGAAATGAAAGGATTGTGATTCCGTTCCGGTTCAATTGACGACGATCATAAGATAATTTCCGATTTTAGCATAAGATATATATAACCAGTTGTAGCAGTGTCACACAGTCAGAGTTAAATGTAATGCAATTTGGACTTTTTACTGACTTTTCACAGTTTGTACAAGGGGCAAAATGTAATCCTTAAACGGTTTCTACATGTTAAATAAAAATGCTAAACAAAAAAAGGCATTTTAAATGGTTTATTTATTTTTCTGTTTTATAAAATACTAGCAAAACCTATAATATTGTACATATAATTTCTGAAGATGGATATTGTGGATAAACTGACAGTCACACAGCGCCTCTTATAGGACAGCTGTTTTGTTGCAATACTTAGTGATTCACCTTTTAATTTATTTACAAATGCCTTTCATGTACCCCTATAGATTTTATTGTTTTATTCTTGTCCCAGACCTGGACTTTCAATCTATAAAAAAAAATCCATTATTAAAAGACAAAGTACATTAAGACAGAAATATCAGTTTAAAACTATGATAATCTAAACAAAGAGTGGCATAGTTATAAATCTTTTCCATGTTTTGTTTTAGTCTTTTTTTTGTATTGTTATTGTAAAATGATTTAAAGAAATAAAATGCTGAAACATTTTCCCCACATTTATCTGCTACAAAAAAATCTACTTATCCCTAAACTGTGTAAATGAATGTAAAGCACAGAGTGCTGCAGTATGCAGGGTGAGTAATAGAAAATATGGACATCAGTTTAAATTTTAACATGAATTTGATTTGTTAATCAAATTTACTTGTTCAAAATCATTTTAATATCATTCCCTATCACCAAAAAGGAACAACCAAAAAGGAGACATTTTATTTTACCCTTTCCTTGGGCAAATGTCCACGGCTTGTTCCAGCAAGAGGCAATCCGGTCCTTCAAGCTGTCTTTTAGTCACCCACCGACGGATCTGGACAGACTGAGCAGCATAATGACTGGCGTGATTTTCTGCACCCTTTCCTCGCGTCCGTGGGTCTGATCGCCGGACAGTTTCACGGATTCTGACTGACCTCAAAGCAGCTGCAAAAGCAAGTGGTTGGAAATGGGAGGGATTGGAGGCGGAGGGGGTGCACGTAGCGGAAATGTGGACGGGATTGACAACTTTTCTAACCAGTTGTCCCCGAAAGTAATTTTGTTCTGTAGTAGTTATAGAGTAGACAATTAAAAACATAGCATTTCGATGCTTACAAACAAATCAAAACAGTTTGAAAAACTTATTGTGAAATGTGCTGTGTTTTTAAGATTTGTTTATACAAATCGTTTCATTACGAGTCCTTTAAAAGTGTATATGATTTCTAATTATTACGTTTTAAAGTAAGCCTTTTGAATATTTTTAACAGTTTTTAACAACTCGTTTTTAGGACCGCTGAGGAACGCGTCGTGTAGGGCGCCTAGTGGCCAGTATTTGAAATTGCATGTAATTAAATCACTTTGTCTCTGTGACATCTAGGAGAAGAAATGAAAGGATTGTGATTCCGTTCCGGTTCAATTGACGACGATCATAAGATAATTTCCGATTTTAGCATAAGATATATATAACCAGTTGTAGCAGTGTCACACAGTCAGAGTTAAATGTAATGCAATTTGGACTTTTTACTGACTTTTCACAGTTTGTACAAGGGGCAAAATGTAATCCTTAAACGGTTTCTACATGTTAAATAAAAATGCTAAACAAAAAAAGGCATTTTAAATGGTTTATTTATTTTTCTGTTTTATAAAATACTAGCAAAACCTATAATATTGTACATATAATTTCTGAAGATGGATATTGTGGATAAACTGACAGTCACACAGCGCCTCTTATAGGACAGCTGTTTTGTTGCAATACTTAGTGATTCACCTTTTAATTTATTTACAAATGCCTTTCATGTACCCCTATAGATTTTATTGTTTTATTCTTGTCCCAGACCTGGACTTTCAATCTATAAAAAAAAATCCATTATTAAAAGACAAAGTACATTAAGACAGAAATATCAGTTTAAAACTATGATAATCTAAACAAAGAGTGGCATAGTTATAAATCTTTTCCATGTTTTGTTTTAGTCTTTTTTTTGTATTGTTATTGTAAAATGATTTAAAGAAATAAAATGCTGAAACATTTTCCCCACATTTATCTGCTACAAAAAAATCTACTTATCCCTAAACTGTGTAAATGAATGTAAAGCACAGAGTGCTGCAGTATGCAGGGTGAGTAATAGAAAATATGGACATCAGTTTAAATTTTAACATGAATTTGATTTGTTAATCAAATTTACTTGTTCAAAATCATTTTAATATCATTCCCTATCACCAAAAAGGAACAACCAAAAAGGAGACATTTTATTTTAAAATAAACAAATACATAAACATTTTTATATATTTTTTGCATAAAAGTCCAAAAGGTTCAAGAAGCATCTAAAGACATCTTTTCTGTGAGCACTTGACTGAATTCTGTCAAATCAATTCAAAATTGCAAGAGTCTAAATGCTAGATAAATAAAGATCAGGCAGGTTAAAAGTAAAATTAATTTATTTTAATAACTTGCACTGAGCTAAAAGCAAAAAACACCTTCAAGTGAGAAAAACTAAATGTTAACTATATTAAATATCTGTCTATGTAACCCAGCTAGGTTATAAACAAAAAAAAAACACACTTCGTACTACTTTTTGCACTGTTATTTCCACTGAAACATCATGACTTAATAAATTAATACTTTACAGTAAACATGGAGGGCATTAATGCACAGCAGCATATGGTAAACCATGAACACACAGTAGCATCTTATATTTCACATGTATAATTGAGTAAATGATGACTGAAATGATGAATTGTCATTTTTGGGTGAACTGTCTCTTTAAGGTTTTCCAAACTAATCCTAGGTGATTTTGAAAAAGGCATCTTCCAACACCTCTGTGAATTTGTCCTTCATCTGCTGACGAAAGCCACTGTACCACTCCAGCACTCTCATCCTCCTCTCTGTTTTTTCCTTCTGGCTCATCTCTCTCTCCCTCTCCAGGATGGCAGGCAGCTCCCTCCAGTCCTTGAGGAAGATGAAGGGTGCTCCTGCATCTTTAAGTAGTCGGAGCGGGGACCGGTTACCAACTGCACAGGCCCCTGGAGTCAGGACGTCCTCCACCACGGGCACAGAGCCATAGGCACAGGCTTCATAGATGCGGTAGCACTCTGTGTTCACTCCCACCGGACAAAGAGTGAGGTCACTTTGTGCTAATGCCATCTGGTACTGTCTGGAGGTGTCTGCCGTCTCCTGAGGAAGCCACCTGATGACAAAACGGCAAGAGGTATTTAAAAAAAACACTTGCTGCAGTCCAGCAATGCTTGAGATATTATTTGTGAAGGATTTATGGGTAAAACAAAAACATGAGAATGTGTACTGGCTAAGTAAACAATTATACATACTAACTAATCATCATAACTTACACTACCATTCAAAAATTGTACTTTTTTTGGGGGGGGGGGTCTCATGCTCATCAAGGCTGCATTTATTTGTTCAAAATACAGTAAAACAGTAATATTGTGAAACTTTACTACTAATTAAAATATTTTTTCAGCATCATTACTTTAGTCTTCAGTGTCACATGATCCTTCAGAAATCATTCATGGTGCTCAAGAAACACTTTTCAGTATTCTGTGATTAATAAAAAGTTCAAAAGAGCAGCATTTATTTGAATGTTGTTGTTTTTGTGTGTGTGTGTGTGTGTGTGTGTGTAAGATTATAAATGTCTTTACTGTCTCTTTTGATCTATTTAATACATCCTTGCTGAATAAAAATAGAGATTGCTTTAAAAAAAAAAATTACCTGACCCAAGTTTTTTTTTTTACATCTTCCTAACAATACAGTAAGTATTTTAAATATTTAGTATTTCAATTTGCAATTTTGTTGTGAATCCTTGCTGAATAAAAATAGAGATTTCTTTAAAAAAAAAAAATTACCTGACCCAAGTTTTTTTTTTTTACATCTTCCTAACAATAGAGTAAGTATTTTAAATATTTAGTATTTCAATTTGCAATTTTGTTGTGAATGCAATCTGTTTCAAATTAGACCGACAAAATAATGGACAGTACTTCCAAAAATACATACTTCTCTCTAACATGCATGAGGCAATCTTTCTCCAAGCCATTCTGCTTTAGGACGCCCATGAGAGTTTCCCTGGAGGAGTTTTTGTACATAGTCCCGAGAAAGTTGCAGAGATATGGTCTAGCAGTTTTCACCATCTGACCGCTAAGTGTGACTACAGGGAAATGCCTGTATCTGTAGAGAAAGAAAAAACACGTTATAAACAATCAAACTAACTGATTTTATTCTAAATTACATAAAAACAATAAAATCGGATACTAATAAAATATTACAGAAACACACCTCATAAAATATAAAACAAAAATGAGTTTTAAAAAATAGAAACTTACGTGGCAACACCCAGTGGCCACTGGAAGATGTCTTTATCATTGACCCAAGGACTGTCGTACACAAGAAAGAGCAGGTCCACAAACCCACCGTGCCTCTTAAGGTAAGGACTGATCCAGTCATTATTGCACTGCTCATTGCCCAAAAG